TTCAAAATAAGAGCAACTGCTGACGCTGCTGAATCGTACCGGGCCGACCCTCCAGGCGGGTTTTGAAACATTGTGACCGCTGCACCGACAGCTCCATCGTACATCCGAGGTTTCCAGACCTGGCAATTCCTGATCTACTTGGGAGACCCCACTGGGTACGTACACGGCAAAATAGCGGCTCATGTCATCACTTTATAAGCCTCGTGATATCTAGTCATAACAAAGACGACCAGATTCGATTACGTCATCCTAGAGAATCTGAACCAGACCCACACACACACACACACGCACCAACACAACATCCGAATCCATTCTCATCCATCACAGAGTTAGTCCTGGTAGATTGTTTAGAATTTATAATTCAGAAATTAAAGATTCTCAAACGATCCCATCTCTCTCTCTTTTATTGTCTCAAAGTCAATACAGAGTGTTTAATTAAACTCCCTGATGATAAAAACAGCCTATTCTTCTGTTTATAAAAGTGAACTACTAACAGTGTATTAAAATACAACTTTGGTTAGTTACATCACTTTGATTCCGTTACAATAATAATAAGGAAAGTTGGAAAAAACAACAAGATTAACAAAAGTTATATTTATTTGGCTTCAATTACGGACAAAGTAATAAAAAATACACTAAAATAAGAACATTTCAAACCATTTAAAAATATATTTTGATTTAATAACAAACTTCTTCTATAAAAATATCCACTAAGCGTTCCCCAACCGCAGGTCAAAGACCAAATTCTATACACATAAGTGTTTCTTCTATAAATGGGTCTGCACGGTATTTTCCTTTTAAAAATCACTATAATTACTTATAACAATGCAATAGCAACAGAAATAAAAGAGCATAATAACTAACCGTTTATCAGATGTGCATTAAATACATTTAATGTTATGCCCCTTATGTATTTTGAAAAGTGAGGGCTGGTGAAAGTGTGTTTATGTAACTGAGTTTTAGAGGCAAACAGAATTTGTACCAACAGATAAAAGAAAGATCTAACAAACACCACACGGCAGTAGTGACACGGTGAATGAGCACATAAACAGGAGGAAGGACACTTCCCAAAAACACACTGAAGTTTAGTTCAGCTGCAGATAAACGACCAAACCAACAAACCACACAGGAAATGGATTCTAACAAAGTTGTTTTAAAATTAAATACGATTTTCTGGAATACCAGAATTCAAAATGTTGGCAATAAAATATCTGAAGAAGTAACATTTTTCATCTACAATTTTATAAAACATTTATTACACACACACACACACACACACACACACACACACACACACACACACACACACACACACACACACACACACACACACACGTATACAGAGTACAGAGGTAAGGAAAAGTCAAAGTATCACAGTCATTGGGTGTTTTTCAATGCAAGGAACCTTGCCTTGATGTCTTGGCCCCACTCCGAATGCCTAGGAGATACGTCATCGGGAGCTGCCAAGACGTGTTCCAAATTTTCATGTTGTACCGAGGCGTGTGTTCTCCGTTTGTTAGCCGTTTAGCTAGCTGAGCGAGGATATAAGAGAGGTGTCCTGTAGCCTAGCCTTGGTCAAAAATTACCTAGAATACACCGTGGTATTTGCCAGGTGCCTTGACACTGAGAAACACGCATTGTTTTTTTAAGTAAGTGATGTCATCAACATGAGCCTGAAGACCTCTCAGAAGTGAAAAGCCTGGGTGTTTCTCAATGTCAAGGTGCCTGGCCTTGCGAGGAGATGTCTTGCGAGGCCGGGCGCCTTACTTACGAGGACACTGTCCTTCCTTGGTCAAAATAAAACGGTTAAATGGAACAGGCTTGCATCACGTGACCCCAGCTTCCACGGCGGTCACGTAACATCACGTAACACGGGAGATAACGTTATATTTTATATGTATTAGTTTAAATATAAATATATAATGAGCCTTTTACTTTTTAAATTGTGTATATATTTGTTAAATTAAATAATTGAGTTACTAACCGATCGCCACCGAAGCTGAAACTACTAGCAACTAACCAACCACAGATAACTTCTTTGGATCTAAACAAAAACATTTTTAATTAGTTGACTTACATTTAAACTTGAAATGTGCCCCCAAAGTAGCTGCCGACATCTGATCTGCCGTACATTTGTTGCTTAGTAGGTGCAGCCTTTGCATTGAGAAACACCCCTATGACTGTGGTGATTTTCTACCAACTGATTTAGAGTAAACAGTAAATGTTCTACTGGTGAAAATTTCACTAAATAATGCACATTCCCCTATAAATTATGGCAGATGATCAATAAATGGAAATAGAAGTAACAATATTAAATTTTCATTCAGCGTTTGTTTAATTTGCAGTTTTATTTCAAACATGCAAGCACAGGGTAAAAACAAATAGAGCCGCTCTTTTATCAGAATTGTTTTATTAATAGACATTTTGTGTTTTGCATACTTTTTAATCGGCTACTTTTATTTTACTAAACATTTAAAAATCTGATGCTTTTTCATTAATGAAACAGCCTCCCAGTTCATTTGTTTCTGTCATATAACATCAGAACTAATTCTAACTTGTGTCTTCAGCACTTCGTGTTACACCCAAACTGTATGAAATGTGGCTTATTTCCTAAACATCTGAATTAAAGTTATATGGATTTTTTTTTTCTGTTACTATTTTACAAACAGATTCAGTCTTCTCCAATACAGTTGTTGGCTTGAGTTTCTACGTTTCTCTAACATATTGAATGCATTGAATTAGTGTTTGGGTTAGGGTCCACCGTAACGGTAAATGCTTAGCCCTCCCAGCCCCAACAAATATCCCCAACAGCCACCACTGGAACCTCCCTTTCATCACTGTTTAACTCTACCTCAACAAATGTATCTAGTTAAAATGTTAACATGTTATACATTACATATTTACACAGAGTTAAAGAAAACATTTAAAGGTTAAATCACTAAACCAAAGAGTATGGAGAATTAATTTATCTCCACTTCCTGTTTAGGCCTTACCAGTGGCTCCAAGAGAGCCATGGCCACCCTAGGGAAGAGCACCCCCACCCCCTTATTGAATCACACACATGTTCACAAAAATCTACATGAATTTTCTTTAATCAAGACATAAATAAATTAATTAAATTTATTCATTCTCAATTTAAATATAAATGTCTTCCTAAGGAAGATAATTTAAAAAAAATGTCTAAATCCCAATATTTTTTGGGATGTTCTTGGTTGAAACAGCAAAATAAACCAAAAACAGAAATAGCTGTGTGAAATGTGCCTATTTTCTGTAATGTTTGTTTTTCTCATATTTGAGGTAAATGTGCTGGATGCATAGGTCTGTTTATTTCTAATGAAAAAAGCATGAAGGAGCACTGCAACACACAGCTACGGGGTCAATTCTCACAAACTTACCAAAAGAACCAATTTGGTGTCCCACCCCAAAACTTTACTGGACCCCAATTTAAAAAATCCTAGGAGCGCCACTGGTTATTGTACTTCTTTCTGTTGTTACTTTATTGTTACAGTAACAACAGTCTACATTGTGTATAGGGAGCCTAAGTCACTTCCGCATCATGGGTCCCCAAAAGAACGAAAAAATGAATGCAAATCAACGGGGCTAAAAACACTATTTTCTAATTCCGCTTGTTTTGTGCCATGGATTTCACATATGATGTCCGTGAATTTTAAAGACGCATTTTGATACCAAGAACGTGCTTATTTTCGAACGGGGGGGAACGATATTTTAGGTTTTGTGTGAAAATAAGTCCAGGACTACAAATGCATATCACGAAAGTGACGTCATCGAACCAGACACGGAGAAACCTGAGGGAAAAGGGCTGCAAATTCTGCAAACTTCCCACAGAAGGAACCACCATAAATCTGGCCATTTGGTAAGTAGCAGCTACTTTGGGGAGAGGAGATTATGGTGACGTCACATATGCGATGTGCTGATTTCTAGATTGTAGTCATGCTAATTACAAACTTTTACAAGATAATAAATCTCAAAGTACATAACTGGCATGGTCAAAACAACCATCAATACTTTTCATTTAAATTGCAGTACCACCTATGTGTGATCCAGGGCATAAGGCAAAGCGGATTAGAAAATAGCGTTTTTAGCTCTGTTGACTTGCTTTCGTTTTTTAATGATGCAGAAGTGACTTAGGCTCCCTATAGTTGTTTAACTCTTTGATGCATAATGGTCACTACAGTGGACAGGTACTCAGAATTGTTATTTATTGTTTTTGCTAATAAGCACAGCTAAGACTTTATTGCATTTGGGCCCCTCTATTTGGACTTCAGTAAGTCAAGCAAACATATTTCATGCTCAGAATGCACACTGTCCACTGAGGTGGACATGTAATAAATTATTTGTAAATAATTATTGTTGCAAAAAATATTTGTTGAAATTTGTTTCATTCACACCTAAAGATGAATGAAAAAAATTGTTAAAAATTCATGGTTGAAGATTTCATAATTCAGGCATCAAAGGGTTACATGAATTCTTATTGGTTAAAAGTCAAAAGCAATCTTCTAAATAACCACAAATATGTGCAAGACTAATGTACAAAATAAAAAATATACTCACATTCAGCTAAATCAGCTAACAGAGCAGTACGGAGTTAGTTAATAGCCGTCTTGAAACTTTGTTAAACATTAAACTACAATCAATGTAACACAAAACATTACTTTAGCCGAAGCTGTCTCTTTAAGAGCTAAAGCGTGGTAGCTTAACCCGGAAGTTGCTGCTCTACGCATGCGTCATTCCATCACGCAAACAGCAGTTATTTGGGATCTAACTAGGGATGAAATTCTAAATATCCTGTAGTTTTATCCAAAAATATGAAGCTTGTTTGTGGTTGGTGGTACATGTGAGAGCACAAGCATGCTCCATTTATTTACTATTTTTTACTGGGGTCTTAATGAAAAAGACGTAGTTTTGTAAATATTGCTTCACGTGCCCTTGCCTAACATGGCATCTAATATTATGGTAGCACAATATTGTAAAACACTTACCAGCTGATCCACCAGCTATGATCTGATGAGAAGCTTCTCGGAGCATGCTCCGTGGCTTCCCGGTGGTCATGTCAGCGGCGGCAGAGGTCCTAACAAAACAGACACGTGGAAAAGCGGTTACGACCTCCACGTTTTACCGTCTAAACTCGGTATTTTCTTGTTACGGTGGTGCTGTAGTTTGCTCCGGAGCCACTAACCTGCTTAATTCCTGCTGCGAAGCCGCCGGTCGAGGGGGCTTGTTGTGTTGCAAGATCAAACTTTGTATGTATGGTAAGCCAAAGGTGACAAAAATACGCTCTAATAGCTGTCATGACGTACATTCAAAACGGGGTAATGACCAGGGGTCTCATTTATCAAGCTTGCTTAAGCACAAAACGGGGTCGGTTAACTGCATAAGCAACTTTCTATGCAAACTTTGGGATTTATAAAAGAAAACTTAGGGGAAAATGTGCACAACTTTAAGTAGACTAAGGACCTGGCATACACACATTTTGGACATGGAGAACACCTGCAGTGCTGCTGCTGAGAAGGATACAATTATGAATTCCAGCAGCGTTACCACTTGTACCGCTTCATGCGCACACAGAGCAAGCCCCCCACACGCACACACGCGCACACACAGCCTGAAGCGCAGAATACGGAATGCAGATTATCAGCAAGGGGCAGAATGAGACAGAATGTCATGCATCTGTGACTGTGACCCGATCATCATGCGTCCTGGCTACTTGGCCAAGAGAGATCTCAGTTTGGCTGGCTGGTCAGCGTGTGTGACTCTCACCTGGGAGTCTGGGGATTGAATCCAGATTGGACCAGTTTTTTTAATATCCGCCACAGATCTCTCTGAAGAACTCACAGCATTGACGGCTTCAGCAACGCTGTGCCACTCTGTGGATTTTCTCTTCTTTGTTTTGCAAAAGCACTTCCTTTAATTTTTCCGCCTCACCCACAAGCAGCGCCGGCGCTCTGCACACGCACACCACGCATAGCGCGTAGGGCACCACGCCAGGGGAGGGGCACCAAACGCAAGCTTATGAAAAAAATATATATATGATAAAGACAGATTTCAATTAGAAGATGTGCAAAGCAAGTTAACAGCATGTTTACAGAGAGAAAACAATACAAAAAGGAAAGGAGATGGACCGTGTCCACTTTTCACTCTGTCCGGGTGTCCGGACTGGGGGTTCTGATGAAAATGTCCGGCTCTTCATCCAGGAGCAGGGATCGAACCCTAACCAGATCCCCTGTCCTCTTGTTTGGAAATGGAAATATGGTCACCCTATATTAAACAAACTGTCCGCCCGGGCTTTTGCGCTGCACAGAGACGCTTCGCTGCCTATGACTTTGAACGTCAGTTGAGAGTCAGTCTCATGCAGACTGACCAATGAAGAGAGGGCCTCAAGTTAAGACCCTCTCCTCATTGGTCAGTCCACACGAGGTGGGTCAAAGGTTACCCTGAGTGGGTTACGTGACATCAGGCATTCAAGTATTGAGTATATTTACTGCATATTACAGTAAAACATTCTGTATGTGACCATATTATGGTGATCCTTGGGTCATGATGATGGGGCCCTTGAAAATTGTTGCCCAGGGTACAACAAAGTGTTAATCTGGCCCTGCCTACCAGGCGTTCATTAGTAGCTGAGTGAGAGAGGCTGAGAGGGAGAGAAACTCTAGCAACGTAGCAAGTCATAATCTTCCTAAATGCAGTTATTCTCTTCTGAATCAGCACTTCTTTAAAGAAGAAATAGTTAAATGCAACAAAGGGAAATATCCTTTTATTCAGCCTGTTCATGCAACTTGTATCAACAAATAAGTCTGAACAGTGTTAAAGGTTGTTCATCTAAAAATAAACCTTGAAGAGTTTGAAGATTTTTTTGTTTTAATAAGTTCATCTTAAAACATCTTTCTCAAGTCAAATAAAGTTTCCTCTGTGAGGTCAGATTGGCCCATCTGTGCTGTTTTGTAACAGAAATAAACAAATGAATCATATTTGTCCACCCAAATACTTAAATATCACAAAAACAGGAAGGACAAAAACACCGTCAAGGTAAAGTAAGAAGTTTTTTTAAATAAGCGGCTGTTTGTGATGAATCATGAGTTAACTATGGATATGATTTATATCATTATTAAATAGCCTATGTGGTCTATAGGCTCTGTAACTGAGATTTAATATGAAAAATTAGACAAACCTATTTTCTAATTAGGTATTTGCTCTATGTTGATAAGTGTTGGGCAAGTTACTTCAAAACTGTAATGCATTATTTATTACTTGTTACCCTAATTTTAAAGTAATTCATTACATTACAATATTACTGATTTTAAAATGTAAGGCATTACACTACTTTTGCATTACTTTAAGTTACTTTCACCAGAACAACTTCAATATGAATGTGGTAATGTGACGCTCAGTGAGCTCATGACATATATGTGGAAAGTGATGTGGTGTCTGAGCTAGGATTGTTGTTAAAAACAGTCAGATATAATAACAGTGCTTTAAAATGATTGTTTATTAAATAAAAGCAACAACAATCTGTACTGTCAGCACGCTGCCATCTTATATTAACTGATCAGGGAGTGAGGTGGTGGGGGCTCCAAGCCTATTTGCCTTGGTCCCCAAATGCCTTGATACGGCCCTGGATGTGGGACTGACTTCTGGGGTGATCTGATTCTATCACATGTATAAATATTAAATGCTTATATATTATTGCTTTTCACTGGTAAAAAATGTGTATTGGGGATAAATCTACCTGCTTTTTTCTTTTTTTCTTGATTTTATTTGAATAATTTCCTGCCCTTTCTCTCTCTAACCTTCCTGCATGCTGCATGTTTTCTCCGTCTTCCAGAAAAAACTGTTTCCTAGACTTCCTACTTTCTAACTATCAGCCAAAGGGATCTTTACATGCGCGGCGCTCCAGCAGTAATGATTTGAAATCACCGGGGCACAGATTATGAATTCAGCTGAGGCAAAGCACGTCAGAAAAGCACAAAATACCAGAGAATATGCGCTGATATGAACGATCGCAAGTGAATTATTTTGTTTTAGTGGAGCGAATTTGTGAATGTTGCAGCGGCCGCGTGCAGGACGCAGCTGAGCCGTTACCGCTGCGTCCGCTCTGCCCGCAAAGCTGAGTCCATAAATGACGTAATATATGCAGATACCGGATCTTTCTTCGGGTTTCCCGCAATTTGAATTTTTAAGGAACACATCTTGATTCTGGGTTTAAAAATGTATTGTAATTACCGCGTTACTGACAATTATACCGAGTAAATATTACCATTTTCTTTCCCTGTAATGCCTTACATTACCACATTACAGCAAAAAGCAGTGCATTACAGTAATTAATTACTTTTGTACCGCATTACTCCCAACTCTGATGTTGATATATATTTCATAAACATTTATGGGCCAAGAGGAACATCAGCTGCTGATGGTATAATTTGAAGAAAAAAGTCCATTATGATAACCTCCTCCTTTCATATTCAGAATTTTCTAGTTGTGTATAAAATGTGTATATTGTGCCTCTCTAGTTCTTAATAAAGGTTAAATAGTTTTGAATTTAGTCATGTCACATGCCAGTGATTGTGTTGTTTTTTCTGTGTGTGTGTGTGGGGGGGGGGGGGGGGGGGGCACCACGAAGACTTTGTGCTTAGGGCACCAAAATAGCTAGCAACGGCCCTGCCCACAAGTACCTCAATTTCTGCTTCGGTGAAATAGCGCTTCCTTGATCTGCTGTCGCAATCTTAATGATGGAATGCTTCAACGAGCCAGCTTATGTATATGCATGAGATCCACAAGGCACTTTGCATTGACCATTTATGGCAGACAGTGGGCCTGTTGAGGGCGGGATGTGACTCAGCTGAGAAACTTTCTAGTTAATCTCTGATTTATAAAGCGGAGATTGCGTGCTGCTGTGCGTACTCCATGTTTCATAGTTCACTAATTTACTTGGCGTAAGTACATTTTTTTGCTGAGCTTAAGTATGGTTTTAGTAAGGATTCTGCTCAATGTTTTATAAAAGAGACCCCTGGGATCTCATTTATCAAACATTGCGCTCAGCAAAAAAAATGTACTTATGCCAAGTAGGTTTGTGATCTATCAAATATGGAGTACGCACAGCTGTACACAATCTCCGCTTCATAAATTGGAGACTAATGAGAATGTTTCTCAGCTGCATTTTAGTCACATCCCACCCTCACCACACCCACTTACTGCCATAAATAGTCAATGCAAAGTGGCAGTTTTTAAAAAAACAGTCCAATCAGGATTTGATCACCAGACTCCCGGGTGAGAGTCACACACACTAACCAGTCCCCCAAACAGAGGTCTCCCCTGTACAAGTAGCTAGGGCGCATGATCAATCGGGTCACAGTGACAGGACACACACTGTCATAGACACATGACATTCTGTCTCAATCTGTCCCCCTGCTGATATTCTGCATTCCGTATTCTGTGATTCAGGCTGTGTGTGTGTGTGTGTGTGTGTGTGTGTGTGTGCGCGCGCATGTGTGTGTGTGTGTGTGTATGGGGGGGGGGGGGGGGGTCTTGTTCTGTGTGAAAACGAAGCAGTACAAGCGATAATGCTGCAGGATTTCATAATTTTATCCTTCTCAGCAGCAGCACTGCAGGTGCTCTCCATGTCCAAAATGTGTGTAAGCCAGGTCCTTAGTCAACTTAAAGTTGTGCACATTTTTCCGCTAAGTTTTCTTTCATAAATCCCAAAGTTTGCGTGGAAAGTTGCTTACGCAGTTTTCTGACCCCGTTTTGTGCGTAAGCAAGCTTGATAAATGAGACCCCTGGTCTTTACCCGCATCCTGTGCATAAAAGCCATTCCATTTATTTTTTGCATGTTATTTTGTCAACTTGAATGTGATTTTGGCAGTCATCATGCCCATTTGTTACAAGTGCTTTTTTCACCTTTGGCTTGCCATAAATTTTGCATTATCAGCACACTGGAGAAAGAGCGCAGCAGCGATGTTTCTCCTTGTTCCTCAACCTAAGCTGACAGACAACCTTAGTTCTGGTTAAAACTGTCCTGGCAGGGTCTCACAGCACAGCACCAAGTCACAACATTTTATTTACAGAAAAAAGTGCTTTTGTCTGTTGTTCATTTGGATATGAAATATGTTTTAGTATAAGCTTCCTTTCTAAATGAAACATTAGACTCTTTTAGAATTTTCTCACAGTAAAATTCTCACCATATTCGTACATAACACACTTTTAATTCTTACATTTCAACTGTTAACTCTGATAGTGACACACCTGACTGCAACCTGTATTTTAGATTAATA